CGTGTGTATGTGTGTGTATGTGTATGTGTGTGTTTCGACGTGAGCCGAAGTAAGAAGAAAGGATTGGCGGGTGGAAAGAGAAAAAAATTGAGGGGGGGAGGTAGGGGGCTGTTGGGTGGGTTGGGGGTAAGATGAACCATTGGCGAATGAAGCAACGGGTGGGTGGGAAAGTCGGGTGTTCGTGGGGTTTGGGTGTGGTGTGGTGTGACGCTGCATCACCTTGTGCTGGAGCAGCATCTCGTGTTCGTGTCCTGGGGCGGTGGATGGTTTGCGACATGTGCACGGATCAGAGATGGAAGGGGGATGAAAGGGGGAGCTTATCATTGCACCGATTTCGGTGCAAGGATGGAGGAGGGAAGGGCAGTGCAGTGCACAGTTGGAGGTGCGCGACTGGGAAGCAGCCAGCGTATTGGGGCGGTGGCGGGTGGCCGCACGTGCGAAGGCGCGCTTGTGCCACTTGGCAGGCATGCGCTGTGAAATACGGACGGTACGGCGGAGAGCCGGAAGAACGGAACTTGGATTGGGATGGAAATCGTGGTGTGTGAAGTGCCAAGGTGATGTGGGCTTATTGAGCCGCTTTGGGCGCGGAGCTGCAGTGCCGTTGCCGTTCTCGACCTTCAGCCTTTCCACGCGCTGCTGTCGGGGGCGCTTTCTTAAGACGGCATGCGTCGGTTAGCATGTGCGCCGGCTCGATGTCTGACATGGTGCGGGTGTGAGAGGTTATGATTATATATCCGTCCTTAAACCTGGCTTTGACTTTGGGCGTTAGTCGTTGCATATTGGGTTCAGAGATACACCGCAGCAGGAAGAGGGGAAAAAAGGGAGAGGAGGGGGGAAAACGTAGGGAAGACAAAGGGAAGAAAAGGGAAGACTTTCCCGACGCAGCCGTGTGTCCTCTGCCTGTCCGTGTATCTGCTTACTTGTCCGTCTTCCTCCGAAGGCAAGAACCGCCTCAATCTTGGCGACGTCTCCTGTATATCTGTGACGAAGGCGCGGCAACGATGACTTGAACCTCACAACATCCCAGCTAGTAGGGACAGGGAAGCACATGCTGGAGGTTGTGAATATCTCTACTGCTATAAGAAGCAACGACTGCGTCCATTCGTAGAAAATTGTCGTTGGGGATAGTTGCTACAGTTGCACAGTGAACTGGATGCAGCCTGGACTGAAGTCACCAGACAAGCGGGCGATGGCATCGCCGCGATTACTAGTGTCTCGCCCTTGCGTAAGGTTACATACTAGCCTTCTCGGGCCGCGTTGGACAAGCTGGGTGTCGATAAGCGTTGGACGTCAAGCAGAGCATATAGCTGTCAGTAAAGTTGTATCGCTTACTTCACATGATACGCCATGCAGCTTTGGACATGCACAGGTTATTGTGGCTACGAGTCCCAGCCTTGGCCCGGTACCCTTAACCCTAACGATGAATTCGTGCACTTGTGAACATCTTTCCAAGATTGGTTGCCGTTACACACGCATCAAAAGGGTATGTGCAGTTTGGGGTGTCAAGGGAAATCCCAAGCGGGTTGTTGTCGTGCAGAGTCTCTGCTGTCGTGATTTCGCGCCAAAGCAGGTTCCTTTCCTGTGCCCACCTGGGCAGCGAAAAACCTTGTACAAATTACTGTATGTACATGATTGCATCTCACTACGCAAGTTGATCATCGTTCCTTACACTGTTTGTTGTTCTAGTGCATCCCTCGTGTAACTTCCGTTTGTAAGACTAATAACTGCACATGAGTTAAACACTATTCCTCGTTGGTACCCTTTTAGCTATTGAGAAATGGCAGCAGAAAGAAAGCTGAAGGCGGAGATAGACCGCACTCTGAAGAAGGTGCAAGAAGGACAGGAGATATTTGACGATATATGGAACCAGGCAAGCAGGGAGGCTAATATGTTATCGTCAGCAGGCGGCCCCCGGACGAGGTCTAACGGCAGCTTGCCATGCCGCAGTACTCGGCTCACAAGCAAGCGCACGACCAAGAAAACCAGAATCAGCGGGAGAAGCTTGAAGGAGAGCTTAAGAAGGAGATTAAGAAGCTGCAGCGGTTGCGAGAGCAGATAAAGGGATGGTGCGTCAGGGTGGGGATCGCTGGACGCAGCAAGCTAAGCGTCGCTCATGCGTCGACTGCTTTGGCTATTATAGGATCGCTGGAGCGGATATCAAGGACAAGCAGCCGTTGATCGATGCACGCAAGTCTATAGAGCGCGATATGGAGCGTTTCAAGGCTTGCGAAATGGAGGCCAAAGCGAAGGGCAGCGCAGCAGGGGGAGCCGACCGTGATTCTACGCAGCGCGCAAAGGACGAGGCGCGGGACTGGATTAAGACGGTCGTGGATCAGCTTACTGAGAAGGTAGGCGTGAGCGGATGCGGTGTATGTCGGGTTTCATGGCTTCGGCCATGAGGCCGCAGCATACGGGAGGGAAAGCAAAAGAAAGGGCGATGGAAGACGGGCTGCTCTGCAAGACAGCAGAGCCCCCGTGCTCACGGCGGCACGAACTGGCGTGGAGGCCCTAATCCTAATCTTAAGCCCCTAATCTTGCTTCCTCAACGCGCATGTGCTGGCAATGCCTGTCATTTGCATAGGCCCAGAAGCCACCCACCCTGTAACAATTAATACGTCTACTCCCGTGTTGCGTGGACCAGCAGATGTGCTCCTCCTCCTCCTCCACATGACCACCTCTCTCACCACACGCATCCCATGAAATAGGCACCGCTTGCAGTTTTTGCTCTTGTAATGCTTCCAAATGTAGTTTTCCTTACCGCACCGGGTTTATTGCCATGTGGGTCTCTCGCCGCTCTCCCCCTTTTCCCTTGGTTGTGTTTTTTGCTCTTTACATACGATTGATTTTCCTACCTGTTTCATTCTTGCCTCATTCTTTTCCCGCCCGTCTCCCGCCCGTCTTTGGGCTCTGCAGGTGGAGTCCATGGAAGCGGAAATGGAGGAGCTGCAGGTGGGCCTGTTGGGGGGGGCTGGTTTTCAGGGGATTGTTTGCCTCGCGCTGCGCCGCGGTTTTGGAGCATGTTGCGCCGCCTCAAGGGAGAAACACGCACACGTTCTCTCTTAAGACCGGGTTTTGCAGCATAAGCATATCGGGTTTTTTGATGCACCCACCCTCTACTGCCCCACCCTCTACTGCCACGTATTTCCCCACTACTACCGACTCCAGTAGCCTGGTACTTTGGACATGTTCAGTTGACTCGCGTGACTTATCTTGCTTTTCTGAATATGATCCCCTGCCCCTGCCCCTTCTCTCTCCGCCCTCCCCTTCCCTCTCTCTCCCCCCGCCCCTTACCCCCGTCTTCTCCCCCCTCCCCTTACCCTCCCAAGGTGACCGTTAAGAAGCGTCAGAAACCCCCCGTCCGGTTGACCTCCCTGGAGGAGACAGTGGGCCGCCACAAGGACCACATCGACCGATTGGAGAAGGTGCTGCGGTGTATCGACAATGAGACCATCCAACCGGATGAGCTGTCGGATCTGAAGGAGGAGATGGACCTCTACCTGGTGAGAGTGTGTGTGTATGTGCGTGTGTATGTGCGTGTCTCGACGTGAGCTGAGGTGAGAAGGAAGGATTGGGGGTTGGAAAGAGACAAGTTTAGTGGAGAGGCAGGGGGCTGCTGGGTGGGTCGGGGGTAAGACGAACCATTGGGAATGAAGCAACGGGTGGGTGGGGGAGCTGGCTGTTCGTGGGGAGGTGTGGTGTGGTGTGGACGATGGGGGGGATCGGAGGATTTTGGCGGGCGGAAGGGGAGAAATATGGGGAGCGATATGTTGGCCGTCATCATGATGGTTTTGGATGGATTGAAATACGGGCTGTGTTGAGCTGCTTCAACAGCTGAGCCTGGTTAGATTACAAGTTACAAATTCTTCGCGCACCCATACACACACACACACACATACGTGCGGGGGGTGTCCGTAAAGAAAAGCCGGGGGCCCCCCATGGGCGGTTACGGGTGGGGGGAAGTGAGGGCAAGTTGGGAGAGGAGGGGAATCAGGTGCAAAGGCGAAAAGGATCAACTGCCAAATGGCGCCCTAACTACCAAAACAGCTGAAGGAGTTCGAAGCTCTTTGAGGTTACTGTCCGGTGGTTCCGGAGCGGCTCATGCCCTCTTGACGGGGAGGGGGTTTGAGGGCAGAGGATGCGATCGAAGAAGCATGGGCTCCGAGTTGTGGTGTGTCGGAACTTGAAGCAGCTCACAACGGATGATACGGTGTGGGGAGCAGGAGTCCGCTGCGGCCTGGGGAGGAGGGAAACGGGAGGGGAAGGGGGTTGGGTGGGTGCGGAGGCCACAGGGGACGAGGCCCGTGGGTTGGGGGAAGGGAGGCCAGGGAGGACATCGGACTGGAGCCGCCACCGGCAGCAGCCGCACGGCCACGCCATCAGGGTAGAGCGGGAGGAGGGGGCCCCGCCCGGCTACTATTCCGGGTTTTAGGGTTTTTAGGGTTTTTAGGCTAGCTAGCTAGACCAAGAGGAATGGAAAGGCGGTCGTGGAAAGGGGGAAAGCGGATTTCCCCCATGATGAGCAACATGCTCTAGAGTTGGTACGCGTGGTAGGGAGTGATGAGAAGGGGGCGGCGGTTTCGGAGGGAGGGAGAGCTGCTAATTAATTTAGCCTAACGCCTGACGTGTCTGGCGTGGAGCGCGGGCTCCTGGAGGAGGAGGAGGAGGAAAGGCACTGAGGAGGTTGTGTGTATGTGTGTGGGGGGGGGGCTGAGAGACTGGGTATGAACCCAGCAGTAAACTGTGATGCCTATTCGGTTGGCACATATTGGAGAGTTGCCCGGGGAAGGTGACATTGTCGCTGGGTATTTGCATTTGGACACTTGAGAATGTCGTTGGAGACCGCGTTAACAACCTTTCTACGCGCTGTGGTCATTACGCGCGCATCTGTCTGCCACACTTTGCTTCTGGTGATGATTTTCTGGTGGTGCACAGGTGGCAAAGCAAAAGTGATGATAAGTGATGTCGCTGGTTGCGAGGTTTCGTTTTTGTTTCCGTAGCACATGGCAACGAAAGCCGCGCTCTATGTGGGAGAGGTGTGGGTAACACCACCGCCCCCGGTCCCCCGGCCCCAGCTAGACAGGGTAACGTCCCCACATCCTTGCCTATAATGTCCCCCGGACGGGAACCCTGGACGGCGCGGCAGTAGTTCTTTCCTTGACGCAACGTTTTAGTTCCCCTCCAACTTCAAACCCCGCGCACCCGCACCCGCATCCGCACCCGCACCCGCAGCACTCACAACATCCCAAACTGGAATTTTGTGCGCACAGAACACCGAGGACGGCGAGGACATGGGGATGGACCTATCCAACGTGGACGACATGTACGGCATGTTCCAGGTACGGCAGTACGACAATGGTACCGCGCTTCGGGGTATATTGCCTTCTTCTGGGTGAGGAAGCGGTTGGGTGCCGCCGCCGCCGCCGCCACCGCCGCCGCCACTGCTGCGGTCGCCACTGTGAGTGACTGTGGTCGCCGCCGCCACTGTGACCTTTTCTGCGCTTCTTCGAATCCTCTTCGGATCCTCTGTCTACCATTTCACCTTGGTTTCCTAGGGGCCTTGGAGCCTTAGGTAGCTCGTTTTGGGGGTGATGGTGGGGTCGGCTTTGCCCAACTCACTCACACATACATACACACGCACACAGGCACATACATACACACGCACACGCACATACACAGGGTTCGCGGAGCGGGGCATTCCCCGATGCGTATGGGGGGGGGCGGGGGTGGGGGTGGGGGGGGCCCGATCACCCTATCCTAGCAGTATAGAGGTGGAGGAGCGAGTGTACAACGCGCGAAACCCTGGTGGCGCTGGGCGCAGCAGAGGGAGAGGTCGGGGGGGGGGGAGGGGAGTGGCAGGGGGGGGAGGCGTCTTTGGCTCTTTGTTCCTTCAGGGGGTGGGAGTGTCGACGGGAGGAAATGTAGTTGCTGCTGGTTTTGAGGGGAGGGGAGGGGGGGAAGGTGAAGTGGGTTGGGGAAATACGGGTTTTGCCGCCCCCGACATATGTAGAGGCGAGGGTGGCCGTTATTCTTTTTTTTTTATTTTCGGTGTGCAGCGAGCCCCGCCCTTTTGCGAACCCGGCGAGTGAGTTTGCTGCTGCTGTGCGCATATGTGCCAGAGAGGGCACCTGTGCCGCCCGCAGCTTGGGCGGGAGGGGTGTAGCTACTGGACTTGGAGTCCCTAGCCAGAGTGACTTTCCTAACCTGGTAGTGCTTTCCAGCGATGCGCTTTCGGCGTTGTAGGGGAAGGTTTTGGGCTTTAGCTTGACTGAGAGAGCCAACCGTGGCTCGGGCGTTTGGGTTTTCAGGGTTTTCACATCAGGGTCATAGCGCCATCAGGATGTTTAGCGCCCGCCCGCCCGCCCGTAAGGATACGTCAGGGAGGACAGCTTCCTGAGAGCATCTTTCGATGCTGGTTGCTGTACGGCGTTCTCCAGTCGCAGCGTTGGAGGCTGTACGGCGTTTTCCTTTTATTCCCTCCGTAGACCCACCGCTGGGGAAATACCCGTACCCGTACAAGGTATCCGGCGGCTCAGACGCTGTGTCGGGCAGGTGTATTGCTTTTTGTGTGTATTTCCCCTCCCTCCCACCACCCATTCGCTCGTGGTTTGTCATCCTCCCACCACCCTTCCAAACACACGCACACATACACACGCACACATTTGCACACAGGACCGTTTGGATGCAGTGGACAATGCGGCCCCGGCGGCGCCCCTACACAGCGTCAAGCACGGCAAGGGCGGCAGGGAGAAGGAGGCGGAGGAGGCGAGGGAGAAGGAACGGGAACGGGAGCGGGCTGCGGCGGCAGCTGCTAAGGCGCAACTCATAGCGCAGGCAGGTGGCCTCTTTTTTTTCCGCATGTGTGTGTATATCGGTCTGTATGTTTTTGCTAGGTTTTAATGCTATTTGTCTGTCTGGGAGACGTCGGGACGTCTCATGCCCGTCATAGATGGTATGTACGCGTGGTGTGGTGGTGTGTACGACAGGGGAATACGAATTTAAAGCTTCACGACGAGGACGAAGTACGGAAGCCCCTCGCCAACGCCAGCAGCGTCGGAGCGGGGCCTGGCAATGGCGTCAGCGTCAGCGGTGGCAGCGTCGGTGCCGCCGCCGGCGGCAAGCCCTCGACACCTGTGGCGGCGCCGCCAGCGACCACGACGGCAGCGGCGGGGCCTGGTCTTCCTCTTGCCGTACCGCCGCTGGCGGCGCCGCAGCCGTCAGTGGGGCCGTCGGGATCAAGGCAGACGGCGCCGTCGACGCCAGCAAAGGAACCCGACTCTGGTGGGTCTAGATGCAACAACAATGATCATCACCATCACCTTCACCATCACCATCACCATCATCATAAGCGTGTACTCGTTGTATGAGTGAGAGGCAAAGGTTTTTTTTGTGGAGCGACACGACCTGCGTGGCTGGGTGAGGGGATGGGAGGCGGGAGTCATGCAAAAGTGTAAAAAATATTGTTTTTTATATTTAAATTTACATATATATAAGGAATATATATATATATTTTTTTTATAATTATGTTTGTTTATATACCAGCTTTTTGTATACATAAATATATACATATATGTGTATATAATAAAAAGCTGGCGATACCCGACGGCTGTTTAAGGAACCAGCTGTTGCCCTATTGTGTAGATGTGCGCGAGGCATGTGCAAAGAAAATATGTGCGGTCTCGGGTGACTGGTGGCTTGTGTTAGGACGGAAAGCCGCCACTCCCTTACCCCGTCACCACCTGTTTTGCACTTATGTGGCTGTGAGGGTGTGGATGTGGGTGTGTATGCGGGCGTGTGTTGCACCTTTTGGATTGCGTTCCACTTCAAGGTGTAACGGGTTGCAAATTACCCTTTCTGCTTGTCCGCTCTCCACCTCCCCCCTCCCCACACACTCTTGTTCGTGGTTCGTCTTCTCTCCCACCCCACACCCCACACACACAATCCCGCCAGGTACGGCCACGCCGCGAACAGCCACCATGGCGCCATCAACAGCATCCCCGGGGTTGTCCTCTTCAGAAGCAGCCTCGCCGATGCCGCCTGGCGGCGGCGCCGTCGGGACCCCCCACGCCGCTGGGCCCGTCTTGGGCCCTATGTCCTTGGGCGCCCACGGGCAGCCGCCGCCGCCGCCGCCGCCGCCTCCCCCGCCTGGGATGGCCCTGGCGGGAGGGGGGCCGGCGAGGACGCCGACGTCAGGGGGTCCGACGGCAAACGGCGGTGGCGGCGGCGCCGGTGGCATGGATGGCGGCGGCGGGGTGCCGCGTTGGCTGGCGGCGGCGGCGTCCGGGGGCCCTGCGGGGGGATCCCAGGGCTCGGAGGTGTGTATATGTGTGGAGACGTGTGGAGACGTGTGGAGATGAAGATTTATGAGGGGGGTTTCAAACGGGGCAGGAAGAAGGAGAGGAACAGATCTGTTTTTTTAAGGGGGTTGCGGAAAGGAGTAACCAAGCCAGCAGCGATTTTATTTCCTGGTTGTGTGTGTGTGTGTGGGATGTGTGTATATAGGGAAAGGGGTTTATAGCTTCACCCGTGGCCGCTACTAGCCTGCTGGCAGTCCCTAGCTGCCTCCCCCCCGCGGTGTACTGGGAGCACCAACCTCATCCTTCTCATCACCCACGCGCGCGTGTGTGTGTGTGTGTACGTTTCCGACTTGAGTGTTTTCCCTTTGAGTGTCAGCACCCCCTCCCCATCATGACACATGACACATGGCAGCATTCAGAGGAATCTGTCCCCGGGTCAGCGGCCGCGACTACTCCACCCCCACCCACCCCTCTCGCCCTGTCGGTTCACAGGCCCCGCACTCCATCCGGGTCGGTACATCACCCTTCGTCACCCTTCATCACCGTCCATCATCATGTCTGTGCACACACACATATATCATCCATGCGCCCTCTTAACAACGTTCAAGGGATGCCTCTCCCGCATCGACATTGTCGGGATCGATCCTGGGACTTCCAGGGAGACAATGCCGCGCCCTACACATGTCTGTTGATGCGTATCTTTTCACCTGGCGAACCCCGACTTCGACTCCGATTCTATGCAGGACTTGTCATCTACGCAGAACGGAGCGGGGCCGGGGCCACGGCAGGGTCCAGCGTCTGCATCATCAGCGGCGGCGGCTGCGGCGACCGCCGGCGGTGGTGGCGGCGGCGGCGGCTTTGCCGCCACCGGGCCGGGGACCGCAGGAACGCCGTCGGGTACTGCTGACGGCGGCGGCGGCGGCGGGCCGTTGGCGTCGTCCGCCGCCGCGGCGGCGGCGGGTCGTCAGCCCACGGACCGAGGGCCCGCTGCCGGTGGGTGGAGATTGCAATTTTTTGCTGTCGTACTGAAAGAGAGCTTAGTTTTAGTTTGGTACCTTGCGGTCACCAGAGGGATGTGGGAGGGGGGGAAAGGGAAGTATGGGATTTGCGGGAGGGGGTGAGAGGGCTGTACGATTTCACGGGGGGGAGGGCTATGGGAGGGGATTGCGTAGAGGGATGGGCGTCCTGACATGATCTTTTTTGCGGCCTGTCCTTTTGACCTGTTTTTGCATGCTCTGATCAATGATAAACTGCAAGTTGAAAATGTTTTAATTGTCTACCAGCTGAACATCTAATAACTTTAATAACATTTAATAACTTTCCCCATGCACATGTCCCACATTCACATGTCCCACATTCTCTCGCTAGGTCCCAGCGGGCCCAGTGGCATGACGGACGCACTCACGGCGCGAATGGCAGGCGTGGTACTGGGGGGAAGTGGAGCCGCCAACGCCAACGTCAACGCGTCGTCGGCCGGAGCCGGCCCTGGCTCACGAGCCAGCAGTGCCGGCGGGATGGGCTTGTCGCCGCAGTCCGCGGCCGCTGCCGCCGCCGCCAGCAGCGCAGGCAGCGCCGGCGGCGGCGGCGGGTTGTTGCTTCCCGGGGATCTTCCCCCGGTAGTTCCCGCGTATTCGGTGTCCGCTGCGAAACAGATCCTGGAGGCTTGTTACGCGTAAGTCAAGTCCCGTGTGTAAGGATGTACGGCTGGCTGTAGTACCGTACGGGTGGCGGTTCTGGCGGGTTGCCTAGCCGGCCAGCTGGAATGGTTGGTTGGTTGATTGGCGGGCGGGCTGTGTGTGTATATGTGTGTATATGTGTGTGTGTGTGTGTTTTACTATCTGACTCTTTTTTCTGCTGTGTGAGACTGCTGAACTTTTTAAAAAGCTCTTACCGCGCTGATTTTGGGCGTCAAAGACTTTTGGGCGTCAAGACGCTTATTAAGTGTGCCTTACTGTTAGATTTTCGCGTGCCGCATAGTCATCATGTTCCCCCTGCCCCGTGTTTCCGTGTTCCGTGTACCCGGGCAGACGCGGGGTGATACCACACCTATCCGACACGGAATGGAAACACACACGGCCACGGCACCCCGTTGCCGTACCCGCGTCGTACCCCAAGGTACGTAGGGTACATGGGCAGACCCAGCCTCTGTCCCGCGCGGAAAAGTAAGGGGGGAAAGCCGTACTCCTCCTCCTCCTCCTCCTGCATATGCCGTATTGTGCACACACGCATACATACATACATATGCACGCACGTTGAGCCACCGACCCAAGAGCTGTCTTTGGGATTCCTTTCACACGAATATGCAGGCGTGCACACACACGCACACACGCACACACACACGCACACACACACGCACACACACATTTCTGAGCCGCGTCTGCAAAACCCCCCCGGGACACGCCCCCCGATTCCTCTTCTCCCCCCCGCTTACAACTAGGACCCCGTCGGGAAGACACACGCACGCCACGTAATGCTGCAACACACACGTACACACGTATATACACAATACACACAACATACATACACACAGAACATATTCCCCGCGCTCTCTCCTCCTCACTCGCTCCACCTCACTGTTCCCCACATTCCGCCTTGCCTCATACTGTATGCATGTAAATCCCTCCTCACCACTGCCATTACCACCACCATTACACCATCATAATCACCACTACCACCACCACCACCATCAACAACAACACGAACAACAATGCCAACACCAATGCCAACACCACCACCAACACCACCTACACCCGCAGACGGCGCCCGAGGTGGTTGACAACCCGGCGCTCTTCAGGAAAATGGACCCCGAGTGCCTGTTCTTCGCCTTCTACTTCCAGCCCAATACATACCAGCAGGTCAGTATGGTCAGCGCACCCCGCTATCCGTCCATCCGCGTTTTGTGCGTGTCACAACATGTATGGCCGTTTGCCTGTCTGTCTGTCTGTTTGTCCATATGTGCTGTAGATACATGTTGATCCTGTCGCCCATGTGTGAGGCTGTATGTGCGACCTCTGGTGTATTTCACACCTTGAGTGCGCGGTTTTAACGCATAGTTGTAAGGTTGAGGAAGTCTAAGTGGCGCACGAAGCCAAAACATTTTCAACCCTTCCCCCCACCACACACACACACACGCACACGCACACACACCTTTCTCATCAACATTGGCCACATAGGGATTTTTCCCTTCCAATTCCATTTGGCCTGAAGGAGATGTCGGCTCGGTTCCACCCCTGCACAATGTATCCGTCTTAGCTTCCTAAGAAGTCACCGGGTCATCCGTCCTTCGGCTCGTCTAGAGTTACACAGCTTGGTCAGGTCTCAGAGTCTATGAGAGTAGCGACCTCCCGCTCTTAACCTCGCCCCATGTAGCCCATAACATTCAGGGCCGCTTGGCGGTCCATCCTGATCTCTACCCCTTCCCCTGTTTTTTCCTCCTCCACGCACCTGCTGTGTTCCCTCGATCCCTAGCCCCCCGCCTCCCTCACACCGCCCCCCGCATACCACCCCCCTCAATGAGTTTCCCCTCTCGACCCCTCCTCCCTCCTTCCGTGCTCAACCCCTGTTGTATGTAACTCCCCGGGAGTGCCCTCCTCAACCGCCCTACCCCCGCCCTCCTCGACCCTTTCGGTCAGTTCTACGTCTGGTACACTCTTGCCCTGGCAGCAGCTTCACTCGTTTGTGGTTCGTCTTTCCCTCCTCAACCCCTCCTCAACCCCTCCTCAACCCCTCGTTAACCCCTCCTCAACCCCTCCGCACCCAACTCAACAACTCAACCAGTTTCTGGCGGCACACGAGCTCAAGCGGCAGTCCTGGCGCTTCCACCGCCACCACAACGCCTGGTTCCAAAGATTCACGGAGCCAGCCGTGACTTCGGAGGAGTACGAGCAGGGGGCCTACGTGTACTTTGACTACAATATTGTGCACGATGACATGCAGGTAAAAACGTGAATAGGAGCCGCAGACGTTGCGTTTCCTGGACCCACCCCACCTCGACCCAACCCCTTCACCCCCTTTCCGTCCCCCTGGGCCAAACCCTTAGCCAAGCCCCTCGCTTTTACCACTTGTTGGTTACCCTGCTGCTGGACATAATTTCGCCTAAAAGATACCCTGGCTCCTCTATACATGGGCATGGGCAAGCTGAACCACATCTGTGGATCCGCAACCTGCAACTTGAACCCCTTTGACCACTTCTTTTCCTTTTCCTTTCTCTTATTCCTGGTATCAGTACTGCATGCTCGTTTTCCACCCCTCCTCACCCCGCACACATTCCCTCCCTCACCCCCGCTTTCTCACTCCTCAGCCCACCACTCCCTTCCCCATCTTTTCTTTTCTTACCCCCCCGGCCCCCCCCCCGCCCGCCCCCGCTCGCTCGCCGGCCACTACACTCTACTACTCCCAGACCGGTTGGTGCTATCGGCGCAAAGAGAACTTCACGTTTCGGTACGACGCTCTGGAGGACGAGTTGCGTGTTGCCAACCTGACGCCGCAGCAGACGGTTGCGATGGCGATGGCGCAGGTGCAGGGGCTGTGAACGATGCCCTCCCTCCCGCTCAAGGTGCACATCTCTGCTGGGTTTCCACTTACAGGGCCCGCGACCAAGTTCGAAAGCGAAAGCATCTTTCCAAAATTTCATGAAATAAAAAAGGGGAAAAGGAGACGTTGATCTCCGCCTCTGCCTACGGTGCCGCATCCGCTGCCGTACGTCGCGTCCGCCTGCCCGACTCGATAAAAGAGCCGAGCTCGACTCAGGCTCACAGCTCTTTCGACTTATTCTTGTAAGAGAGAGCCGCTCGTCCCGTCCCACAGTCGGTCATCACATGTGATGGAGAAGAAAAATGCCTCCATTTAACCTCCGTACGATTTCCGTACAACCTCTCCGCCCTGTAGGTGGCCCGGTGTATGGACCCCGGGCTAAAGCCCAACCCCGGCCTTGTGGCTGGGGCCTGTAGTAGCTCGTACATAGTACGGCATACATGTCATCTACAAATACGCGCGCGCTAAGGCGCTCCGCCAACATCTTGAGAGGCCATTTCATCAGCGGCTAGCAGCTATTATAGGCCCCCCGTTTGTCCGTGGCCTAGCTTTTGTCTCCGTACCTCCCTACCAAACGAAGTCCGCACGGCGCACGTAGACACACACATACAGTTTTTTTGGTTTGCTATCCGTAGGGGAAACCTAAGATTACTTCGCTGTATATAGTTCAAGACCACAACTTGTCGCCTTCCGCAACTACAGCTACATCGACGCTTTATTCCCTATTGGCTCTGGCATCACTTGGTGTCACTCAGTCAATCAGCATCTACACCACGATGATTTCCCCAGCAACACGAATGCACAATCACTGGACTAATTGTTCAATGTCGCGGGATTATGGGCTGGTTCGATAAATTGAATCCTGTGCCTTTATTTCTTGTTGTTTCCTCCTCGCGACTCAGATCATTAGGACAAATTAGGACAAATCGACGCACACCTGGTTCTGTTCAGGACTCGTGTCCTACTCGTCGTACTTGGAGTAACATTTGAAAAACAGTTGGGGGGTTCGGAGTGCTGTCTCCCTTATGGAGGATCCTGGCTTGCCTATCGCCTCGTGATAACCAACACAAAGGTCAAATCTGTACTCGGCTCCGGGCTTAATGGATGTTGCTGCAGATCTAAGACGCTTACTTTAGATGGTTTGGCGCTTCCCGGAAAGTGTCTCAGCAGGACTCAGATCCACGCGCGTGCAAACCAGGTAAATGGGAGGGCGACAATATGGGGATGTTTCTCTTCAATTTCTTTCTCCAAATTTCTCTCCGTGTGTGGTTGTTAAAGCGGGCTCCAGACTCGTGAAGAGTAGAGCCAGCGGGCCAGCTGGCCGTGTATTGCACTCTCAGTGGTCCGGAGACGGAATCCGATAAGGGAGGCGCACCACAGGCGATAGGTCTAGGGATGCGTTATTAAATGGGGCACGAGGAACATGATAGTGATGTATGTGGGCTTGCGTCCTTTGGTCGTTTGACGGTAGCTTGCGCGACGACGTGCGAGCAACAGGTCGGATCCAAAAGGTGTAAGAATGTTAGCGGTCCTGCCAAATATTTGGCGTCATCAGGAGCAGCATAGCTCGCAGCCTATCAAATAAAGACGCGTGGCGGAAGTGGGCAGAGGACAGCGGAAGGGCGACGAAAAGGTTTGATGACAACCTTTTTGTTCCCCTTTTGTTCCCCAACAAACGAAATCCCACTGTTGTCCAACCCTATCCAGCAGAGTGTTAATGTTCCAATATAACGGGTATCTGATTGCCTTTTGTAAGTGTTGGAAATGACCGACACTCATATACCAGTAAATGGTAGCCACAGTAATAGGACCCAGCGGGGGTCCGGCGCTTTGCTGGTTTTAACAGTAAGGACTGTAGCTTATCCCTTTTTGACCGTTTCGCTATCCGTTTCGCGCGAGAACCCCGCCCAGCCGCTCCGCTCAATCGCGCAAAAAAACTTTATAAAACCACACGTGCTTTAGCTTAGGCAAAGGCACGGCGTCCAGGTCTTCGCCGTTTCCTAGTCTTGCCTCAATAATTTGGGAAGCTTAATCCGCCCAGATCCGCCTAGGTCACCCAATACCATGCCGCCAAAAGACAGGCTAAAAATAACGAATTTCTTAACCTAAGCCACGTAAAATGCATTGAGTCACCATATTCAGGGCCTTGCCCGCTCTTGCGGAATCCACACCTTTATTATATCCCAGCCTTTCACACGTTCTTTGTGTCATCGTTACCTGACACAAACATATTCGAGGAATCTGAGCAAGACATTGCAAGTGCATGTAACAGCACAGCCTACGTTGCAAGGCCTTCCATTGCTGCAGTAACGTGCCACTCTCGTAATCCTTTCTGGTCCTTCTTGCTTAAGGATGCATGGCAACTAAGGCCTGCAAATCCTAAGGCTGCCAGCACCTTGAAGCTCATAAATGCGCATATGTTGGGGATAATGTACGGTGCTACCGACGGCCGACGACTGACCGTGCCGTGCCGTCGTGTCTTAGTACGGCATCAGATCATGGCTGCGAGTAGCTTCTGTAGTTCTGAGGGCTAAGGATTTTTTTCTTCTTTCAATGCTAATGAATGCATAATATATGCATCATAACTCTGTGTCTTACTTTGTCTGACAGGTTACGAGCCCCGATTGCGCTGCAGATGCGCACTTAGGTAATTATTAGAGATTCCGATATCGAATTCGACTTTGGCTATTGACCTGTGATATAACAGTGATGGCGTTGTCAGACAGGCCCACTATTTGAGAAGCATACCGTCCGCGACACCTGGCCCAGACGAGACGCCGCCCTGGAGCGATGCTAACCGCTTCCTTGCCAGCGCGCTGCTCGCAATTCCAACACAACGGTCCTTATTGACATGACAAACTCGATTTTGTTCGGGTCGAGGTTCTTCGCGTTTGTCAACCCTACCACTTTGTTGGTGTTTGAGAGATAAAGACTGTTGTGTTGGAATTGCGAGCAGCGCGCTGGCAAGGAAGCGGTTAGCTCGCTCCAGGGCGGCGTCTCGTCTGGGCCAGGTGTCCGCGCGGGCGTACATTGAGAACTTCGCAATGTTGCTCCAGAGGGCGTATTCAAGAGTGTTGTAAGACACAACCACAAAGTGGTGGTATCGAAAAACACCGATTGAGATAAGTGCTTTGATGAAATAGCCGTTGTAGAATCCACGCACTTGGGCTTCGCGCCGGTAAACCCCCCTGTACGACTGGGCGACGCGACCTTCAGATGACCGTAATTCAAACAGGAATTAGTTTCGAGTCTGCTGACCAGACGAATCATGGACGCATGTCCCAGCTTTACTCAGGTAAAGCCCCCGTCCATACGCAGGTATGGACTTCCGCAGCAGTGCGGCATTAAGATGGCGATCTCGGCCAACAGTAGTCGCAAGCCGCCGGTTAATAATAGAATTAGGCAGTCCTGTAAACATAGACAGTACATGCTGACATGCTTAAGTTAATTGTAGCAATAGTTGAGAAGACCTAACAGATCGGGCCTCCAAAAGAAAGAGCCGCGAGCTTAACAGAATTGCCTACAGGATACAACAAAGCGCAATTAACTCGGCCCCCACTGCACCCTCACAGCAAATCCGCAAGACGTTCTGCACCTCCTCTCCGCTAACAAATAAGAGGAAATAAGTTGTTGCCTGGGCTGGGAGAGCGCCCCGGTTGGCGTGAGTGAGGGAGTGAGGCGCGCGCGGAGGAACAGACGGACGTAGAGCCGCGCGCCCGCCCCTGCGCTGTGTCTCGGCCCGGTCAGGGCCCCCGGTGCTCGAGCCGCCCACAGTATAACACCCCATCAACTTCCGTTGGAACCATTGTGTGGAGGGCTTAGAGAAATAAATTGTTTCAACGCGCCGCCCTCAACAAAGTGAACTGGAGGATGAGATATCCCTGTGGCCGATTACCAACGCAACAATCTACAAGCTCCGCATGAATGCGACGGGCCCCCCTCCGTAAAAGCTGGAGGCCCATGGACTATCTTGCCCTACTCGCCTGCGCTGCGCGCGCTGTGCTCGGTCTCCCAGGCCTTCGACTGCTAACAATATTCCTAACCACACCCTAACCACACCCATAGACAGCCATAAAAATATAAATACGAGTTCCCCGGACCGACTAGCGACCTCTACTTCTTCAGTCTTGCGCTATCCCTTCTGAGATAAATCCGCTAGGTTTTGCGAGCAACCTATTTGTATACCTTTCCAAGAATTATTTGTATATTAGACTAGACAGATTGTGCTTCGTTCGCTACGTATGCATGTCAGCCGGCATGTCAGCCGGCATGTCAGCCGGCATGTCAGCCGGCATGTCAGCCGGCATGTCAGCCGGCATGTTAGCCAGCACGTCTGGCGAGGATGTTGGAACGTAGTATGTGGGCTCACCGAAACTCAGTTACCCCCTTTGGACGCTAGTCTGGGCTGATGTGCGGTGTTTCCTTTCCTCCGTGGCTTTTAGGCGTTGTAGTATTGCCCTTGGGCCTTCGGCTCGTATGGATAGTTTTACAGGTATGGGGTCACGCACCCCCCAACCATGTAACACACACACACACACACACACACACACGCATGTCAATGTCCCCATTTCCTTGGGATGAAAAGAAGAGCAGTGTGCAACAGGGTTACAGCGGATATGCGGATATGCTTGCTCTGCATCACACCGAAAACCCCTGGACGACCAACGTCACATCGCTGACCCTGATCTGCTGCCCTCGGCTCGTATTGGGCGGTTTGCAGGTACGGAGAACGCACCCCACGACCATGTACAACATACACACACATATACACACACATATACACACACACACACACACACACACACACACACACACACACACACACACACACACACACACACACACACACACACACACACACACACACACACACACACACAGCTGACCCCGATCAGCTGCTGCACTACCAAATCTAACGAATGACCGATAGCGGCAAGCCTGAGCGCTTCTAAGTACTCTATTCCGACAGTACTTGTTTTGTTAGGTTGTGGTTAGGTA